GCCTTGGCTCATATTCACCTTCTGCCTTTAGATACTCATGGTGTCCACATCTGTTCTTGCCCTTGGACTATGAAGTCTGCTACAGGTTAGATATACATTGTGTCTCTCAGCGGTTCAGACATTGAAATTTTATTCCAATTGTGAGGTTTAAAGAGAAGGAATTTAAATCTCTCCAAAGTTCCAACAATGGGATTAGTTAAATTAGATAAGGTTATATGGGTAGAGACCCCTTAACTGAATTACTAGTTGTTTTGTGTGAAAAGGAAGAGAGACCAGAGGATACACACATGTATATTCTTTCCCATGTAATGACAACATTGTCTTGTGATCCTGTCAGATGATGGCCTAAACCTTAGACCGGAAAGATGAACCAAAATAAACTTGTTTCTTTACAAGATACTTTGCTTCTGTAACAAAAATATTCTAATAAAAGACTGCTTAAACAAAACTGTATTCTCATTCATTACAATCTAAGATCTATATTGACCAAGATAAGGTTATCACTATTGGACAGCAAATGTCTGAGTATGAACATCCAGCAGTATGGAACTGTCAAACTTACAACTAGCTTTCCTTTTTAAATGACTTATCCTGAAAGTCAACACAATAATTAATTGAATAATAGGCATTACTGGACCACCATTGCTCTTATTTATTTACTTGTTTACTCCTTCATTTGTGTGTATGTGTGTGTGTGCGCACACAAATGTGTGTACACTCATGTGCTTCATTGCATGTGTGGAAGTAAGTAGACAACTTGTAATAGTTGGTTTCCTGCCCCTACCCTGCTGGTTCTGGGTATGGTGGAAAGCATGCGTATTCAACTGAAGCTTCTCAGGTATCTCTGACCACTATTCATTTATTCAAACATTTGACTATGTGCTTGTCAGTAACAAATGTTTTCTTTTCCTATTTCTATTTGGCTAAACTGTTAAAAGACAATCCTTAATCGCAGCTGTCTTTTTATAGCAGGTGGCGGCCACCTCTGCCTCCAGAACTCCAGCCCAAACAATCTGCTTAGGACTGCTGAGGAAGCAGAAGAATGTGCTTGTGACTCAGCCTGCTAAGTAGGAGGACTATCATTGTTATTTTAACTCCTGCCAGAGGATGTGGGCAACTGTCTTATTCCCTGTCCCAGATAACTGAAGTAGAGATTCCTCATAAAAACCTCGCCCAGGCTTAGCTCTTGATCAATAAGAGCCAGAAGACCTAGGCACCAGGTGTGATTAGCAGCTCACTGCACAGAGTACAATAGGATTTTGTAAAAGTACCATCAGACATCCTAAAGTTACCAATCAAACTTATTTTTAGGATGCATAATCTACCTTGAAAACTGTTTCCATAGGATGTGTGAACAATCCTTGTGAGATAGTGATCAGTGCAAGCCAAGGTACTTATTTTCAGAGAAGATGGCAAAAATACCAGATTTTCATTCTCTTTTTGCTAGTTGTTGGCACATTGTGGCCTTACTGTTAGTCTTTCTGTTGCCAAGTATTCTCAGCAATATAAATAGTCATCAACTTCAGCTCCTGGTTGTAAAACTAAAAACATCATCCTTTTACACAAAACGTTTCTTAAAATATGAGCACCCTTCAGCTAGGAATGAAGAAAAATATAAACGTTCTAAAGGAATGTACAATCTATCTTGAATTGTAGCAGATTACAATATTTAGATAAAAGACTTCAAGAATAATACATTTTTTTACTCTTCAAATATTTTCCTCATTTCCATCTAGCTAACTCATTCCTAACTTGTGTTTGTAATTTGGGACTTTTGTATCATAAATTAAGATTTGGATGATAAAGTCAGCAACAAATTTTTTCACAATACTATAAAATCATAAAAATTATGGCTTGAAACCAGAAAGTGCTTGAGCACTAAAAAGTAATGAGTTCTGTTAAGACACATAGAGAAATGCTTTAAGAGCTATCAGTGCATTGTGGGTATTCTATGGGCAAAGTACCTACCTTCCACATTTCCCAGGAACCTTGTATATCTAGTCATCCCTTCAAAAAGTGAGAGCTCACTTGGGAGGGGGTGGCTTAGGTGATAGTGACATAGCTCAGAACATGATATAGTTTCTTCCATCAGAGGGAGGATACAATGCTGAGGTGGTGTTGGGGGGTGCTGAGGATGGCCATCCTATACAACCCTGTTGGCTATTGTAGGAGCGTGGATTCATTCTATACAGGTGACCATTGGTATATGTGGAATGGGAAAAAAGTATTGCACTGCCTTTTTTATGTAGACAACAAATTATGGGAATGCAAGACAGATGAGTTTTAATTATATAGGTAGAGACGATGAGATTTGATAATAGTTTAGACTCAAAGAGGTCAAGTCACATGGCTAGAACAGGTGGTGGAAACGAGAGGCAAACTGATTTTCAGAGTGATTGACAGTGCACTGTAGTACCCAGTGGGCTTTGTGTGAAAAGAGATCCTGATTTCATAGGTATCAGTAAGACAAACTCCAGGGACAAGGATCTACCTTCACATTAGGGACTGCATGTGTTAGGCTGAAAATACTCAGTTTCAAAATTTACATAATATAGTAATTAGCAACACTAGTAAACAATTCAAAAGATGTTCTTTACTGAACATTTCCACTGTGATTATCCTTTCTGTATAATCCACTTGGTGAAGTTAGTGTTATCAAAGGTGATCTCATGTACTAAAGAACATATCCAGATAGTAACACTTGCAGAAACAGTCACTTTTGCAGAAACACTAGATGAATGTTCATGTTTTTCCTAGATACTATTTTATCAGTTTAGATATTGTCTCTTCTTGATGTTTTAACATTAGCCCCCAATATACACAAAAAGATGCTAATAAAGACTTCCATATACATGTCACCAAATTCTAGAATTAACTGTAGGTTTAAACAATAATTTGGAAAGGATTTTTACTAAAACTCCTTGCATGATTTTCAAGGGAATGTAAATAATTAACATGGACCTCCCAAAACGTATTTTTCTTTTAAGTATTTTAAATTTCATATGTAGCATTTATATTATGTTTGGGAATAGTCAGAATTTCATCTTTGGTGAAACAAAACCTATGCTGATTTTCATATTATAGCAGAACACAGTGAAAATCACAGGTCCCAATAGATTAATATAATCCTTACATGCCAATTAAAAGATGTGTTTCCAGCTGGGAAAAAATGAAACATAAAAAGGCTTGGCATGGTATCATATTCAGAGACTGTCAGTTCCCTTTGGTCACAAATTACAAGCAGGTTTTATGAGACATGCTGAAGCCATGGTAGCATAGAATCTTTAAAGTGCTGTGGGATATTTAGAGGCAATAATAAGCACCAGAGATTAATATGTAAGTCAGTAACCATGGTAACAGCTGGACTGAGACAAACCAATCTCATGTGCCATGGCCGATGCATCTAAATACAACAGTGAGTGGAAGTAACCTATGAAGGAACATCTGCAGTGACAAGAGCTCTTTACAGTGGGAAGGTGTCACTGTGTTGCATTTGTTTGCAATGCATTATAACACATAGAGGACACTATGTATCTTTAGACTTCCAATACTCACTGGGAAGAAAGCAGGAGCAGGAGAAGAAAGCAAACAACAGTTCTTTTCCTCCTGTGATGTTGACTCAGGAAAGAGTTTAAGAGAGCCATAAGTGAGAGACTATTTATTCTTGTGGCAGATGCTTAGTATTCACCACAATGTTGTGAGTCTCTTGCAATGAAAACATTATACATTTCTTTCACTCAAAAATAATTGATGAGAGCAATTAAATGAACATTGTCATGGACAGTTATAGATAGTATATTCAATACCTTTAATAAAAACAAAAACTGAAATTCATTTTCTGAAATGAAATACAACCCCTTCACAATCTCTGTATAATTTTATTCTGTCTTCACTATTGCCTTTCTAGTTAAAAGGTGCAAAGTAAAAGAAAACAAAGTTTCTATTTGCAAACTGAGCTAAAATGCTCATTTATTTATATGCAATTATTGGATATGTGACAGGTGCACATATACAATAAGATTGTGCCTGCTGTGCATTTTCAGTAAATGTTACTTTTTCTTATATAAATCCAGATGGAATTTATGTAAACATAGGAGAATCTAATTCTTGGGCATTCTTCCTCAAGCAACTATCCCCAGGTCACTACCGAGGCTGGGTTTCTTTCTCCCACATGTCCACTTTGGTGTTCCTTCTTCCAAGTGGACAGTGAGCTCTGCCTCTTGTCCCTTTGTCTCAGGACCCTAATCTATGAAGTGGATATCATGCATTACCAACCTCACAGAGCCGATGTAAGGAAATAAATGCATTTAATTACATAAAGCCACATGGAAAGAAGGCTAGCATGTGGTAATTCCCGAGGAAATGTTGTTGTTATGATTAGCCATAGCAGAAGAGAGGGGCTTGGTTCAATCCTCATTTCAAAGCCAGATCTTTGCAAGTCAGTCTAATTGGGAAGTGATTTTTAATATGACATTTTTATTGATTATATGCAAATTTCATATAATGCACCCTGGTCACTTCCCAGTCCTCCCAGGTGCATCCCCCACCCTTGTGACTTTCCCAAAAACAAATGAAGAAGAAGAAGGAGGAGGAGGAGGAGGAGGAGAAGAAGAAGAAGAAGAAGAAGAAGAAGAAGAAGAAGAAGAAGAAGAAGAAGAAGAAGAAGAAGAAGAAGAAAAAGATACCAAGTCCAATTGGTGCTGCCCATATACTCACTGGATCATGGTCAGACTCCCAGTGGCCAGCCCCTTAAAGAAAACTGAGTCCCCCTCAACTCCCACCCCTGCCAGAGGCCCTCAACTATGAAGAACTCCATGTGAAGTGATATTTTATAATTTCCAGTAATTTTGCTCTGAAATTCAAAAATGCTATTTATTCCTGAAAAATAAATTAGCATTTAATTAAAAATAAATAAAAAACCAAGAAGAAGTTAGAGAAGAAGTGAAGTGTTTTTCACAACAGCAGGCTGCTCTTTTATGGCAGAGGGAATAAAATTTTACCTATTCAAGGAAGTTTGAAGTAGTGATGTTCTTTGTGTTCTCAAAGGACTGATGGGATATTCTGGCTTCTTTCTGTTAAAAAAAAGATGCAGAGAAAACTTAGGAATTGATTTCTGACTCACACATTCCAATCATATCAACACAAAACAACTTTGAGCTTTCACTTTTGAATTTGGGTAACTATGAGAATACAAGATGGATTTCCTATAGTCCAGTCCTCCTCGGCTTAGCATTTGTGACCTGCTGGGCACTAGCTCAGCCACTTGACATAAAGCAGTGAATGCTTTACTTACCATTTTGCATCTTAATGATTCTTAAGAGTAGCATCCAAGGAAGAGGAAATTTTTAAATTATTCTCGGCTAATAAATAGCAGAAGATTGTTTAATCTCCCCAAATAATATATTTATAATTGTTAATTATATCCAACAAGCTTGAAAAAGACTGGGCTTCTAGCCCAGTCTGCATTGGTTTTATGAAGCACGGGATGGAGAGGGATTTTTAACAACTAATTAAGTCTCTATAGAGTACTAAGTTCCCTTTGAAATTAGAAAACCTAAAAGTCACTCTGGATTAGCAGTTCTGCTGAAAAGATGCCACTGAGAGTCATACGGAATACTCCCCATTGAAGTGGTTCCTGGAAATAAACAGAGATATTGGAAGGTACAAGGCTTGTTTTCTACTTTACTAGATGTCCGGGTGCAGCCACCCACATCCGTGGCAAGACTACAAAAAATTACAGTGTGTAAATCCCCTGTCAAATCCAGCTCTTACACACAGGGTTTCTAAAGCTGTGTATTTACGCATTTCCCCCAGGACTGTAGAGTGCTTATCCCAACAGACACACCCTATCCTATTTTCAAGGACAATGATATGCTATTGCAAAAAAAATTGAGACCTAAATGGATAGCTTGTGTAGGTCTTTAGAATCCAGAGGGAAATTCAAACAGAAGATATGAGTGAACTGGTTCTTCTTTTGTCTATTCTGGATTTTTTTTGGTTTAGATTATGATGCTAGAGATCAAAGATAGGTTCTTAGACATGTTAGACAAATGCTCTACCACTGACATATGTACCCAGACATTTTCTAGACCTTTAACAGAACATTCACATATATATCGGAGAAGATAAGACCTTGAATCAAAGATATGAATATTGATTGTATCTGGTGTTTCTTTTATATTTGCTCTTATGGTCTGTGAGCACTCACAGTGTAAAAACAAGTAAGATGGATAATTAACATCTACAGAACCATAAAGAAAGTTCCACAGCCCAAAAGACACATGGTAGATTTTCCTATTCCTTGTAATAATTCAATAATTATTTTAGCAAGAATGGTTGTTCAAATTTTTCACATAGCTTTTTGTTCCTTTTGAAAAATATCTGAATTGACTAAGAGGACAAATGCTGTGTGCAAAGATTTTAGCAAGCATTCTTGCACATCTATCTACCATCTACTAGCTATCACATTTCAATCTATGTATCCATCTATCTATCTCTTTCTACCATCTATTTATCATCTGTCAATCATCTATCTATTTCTCTATCACCTATCAACTACAATCTGCTATCTATAACCTATCTACTATCTAATTTATCAACTATCTATCTATCTATCATCTATCTATCCATCCATCCATCTTTCATCAATTTGTGATGAAATCACTGGATTGAGAAATTCATGCAAAGTGGTATGTGTAACAATAGCAAGATGAGATCACATACAAATTGGATTAAAAGTAAATGAAAGTTTCTAGTTGGTTTAATTTTGTTCTTTTAGTTTTTTCTTTCCTTTTGAAATAGACTCTGTATATAGCCCTGGCTGCCTGGCTTTTCTATAACGCACTATGTAGTGGCTGGCCTCAAATCAGATGTGCATATCTCTGCCTCCACAATGTTGGATTAAAGGCATACACCACCATTTCCAGCTTCTAGGTTGGTTTTAGAACAAAAATAAAATGGTAGAGCAAACCTCAGGACCCTGTTCAGATAAAAGGGCCTTCTAGTATTTAGCATATGAGTGTTAAACAAAATGCCATACTTTTTATCTTTACATACAATATTTATCTTCAATGTCTGAAAGTGCTATTTCTTGTACATTGCTTTTGCTTTCCAATAAGAACATATGCACATGTGTGTTAGAGTACATATCATGTTTGTGTGTTGTGTGTGTGTGCCTGCCTGTCTTTTATCTTTGTAACAAGGAGACAAAAAGAAATCTCTAGAACAAAGTTCAGCAAATAGCAGTTTCTGGGACAGCTGCATCCTACTGCTGTATCTTTTCCCATGTACAGTGTTGCTGGTACCTAGTTATTCTCAATATTTGCAGGTGAACAAGGGCTGCTTTCATGCTACAATGCCAGAGCTAAGTAGGTGCGAGAGAAACAAAGCTCAAATTGTTTATCATATGGGCACTTGTGTTGTTGCAGTAGCAAACAGAAAACAGCAGATTCACAATATGAACAACATTAACATTTGCAAAGGCTGTCCTCTTAGTCCTTCCAAAACTGAACTCAGCAGTTACACATGAAATTAGAATTTCAGTGCTCAACATATAAGGGACCAACTTTATCCCAAAGGAAATGGAAAATTATTGGCCAAAAGCTGAAGGGATTATTAGGAAACTCCGTGCCCCCAGTTATAAATATAATACTCTGTATCTATAATTTGTACTTGTTTTGGCATTTTATCACACAAAAGAAAACGACTGCCTGTTTTTTAGACTTCATTTTCTGTGAGATATATAAATGCCACAGGGACTTATTTTTTAAAAGCAACTTATGAACTGTTCCATAAGGGACATCATACTGAATGGCCAATTTTCAGTTAGTCTTCTACAGATATGTGTCACCTTTTATTTCATAGCCAAGGGATAAAATTAACAGCATTTGCCATGGGTATTTGTCAGATTCAACATAAGATACATCTCTTAGGGTGGAATGTAAACAAAGAGTAGCAGACATGTATCAACTCTCATTTGCCAGTGTCCTGAAAACTATCATATGAATTAATTTATTCTTCACTCTCTCCCTTTGACTATTATATCACCCACTTTATAGATGAGAAAGCAAACCCAGATAACTGAAGTGCCCATTCTAGGAATGCACGTATAAAGTGACTAAACCTCTTTTTATTTATTTATTTATTATTTATTTTTTTTAAAAACTGAACCAGCTCTTAACAGACACGAGGGAGTGGATTTAGGTCTCCATCTCTGGTGAAGGATGATCTCAAGCACAAAGGTTTGTGGATCTTCTGAGAGGTGCAGTTTCACCCATGGTGGCTTTCAATTTACTAGAAACACTCCGCACATTTATTGTTCAGGATATTCAGTTTCTTGAACAAACTGAAGTCTACTCTGCTGCAGCTCTGCCTCTTGTTTGCTCCATTATTTCTCTTAGATTTGCTCCTGTCGCTTTCCATGTCATAGGCATTAGAGCTGGACATGGATACTGTTAAGGACCAAGGCTGATAAGCCCTGACAAAGTGAACTGAAAAACAGCTACATTATAGAGCTAGTATGCATACGGTGGAGAAGAGGGCACACACTTTACTTAAGAAGGAAGCCAAGATAAGTAAACACCTGTCCTGCATTAATCTAAATGAGTTTCCAGATCCGGCATTCATGTCCAGGGGGTGCATGTGTGCACCCGTGTGTCTGCTCATGTGTACACAACAGCATGGTGGTTAGTGGTCCAAATGTCTTTCTGCATTGCTTTTGAGTGTATTTTTTGAGACAAGGTCTCCCACTAAATCTGGTGCTCACAGATTCAGCAAGACTCGCTGATAGGAAAGCCCCAAGGATCCTCTTGTATCCACATTGATGGACCTGGTAGTGTAGTTTGAATGATAAATGCCCCCACATATATTTGAACACTTAGTTCCCTGATGGCAGTACTGTTTGTGGAGGTTATGGACACTTTGGGAGGTGAAGCCTTTCTGGAGGAAGTCCCTGTGGGTAGGCAATGAGTATTTATAGTCTATAGTCTAACATCATTTCTCATTTCTCTCTTTCCTCTGTCCCCGCCCTTCCGTGCTTCCTGTGTGTGGATACAAATGTGATCATTTGGCTCAGGAGCCTGATACTATGCCTTCTTCACCTGCTGCTATACTTTCCTCACTAAAATGTATCCAATTTTTCCATAAGACAAAATAAACCTCTTTCTTATTTTTATTTTGTTTTATTTTTATTTTATTATATTTAAAACAATCTTATTTTACACATCAATCCAAGTTCTCTTTCCTTCTTTTCTTCCCACTTCCCTGTCCATCTCCCCAGAGAGGGTGAGGCCTCCCATGGGGATCAATCAAAGACTGTCACATCATTTGGGACAGGACCAATGCCCTCCCTCATGTATCTAGGCTGAGAGAGTATCCCTCAATAGGGAATGGGATCCAAAAAGCCAGTTCATGCACTGGGGATAAATACTGGTTCCACTATCAGTAGCCCCACAAACTGCCTAAGCAACCCAACTGGTATGCACATTCAGGGGGTCTGGCTCGGTCTTATGCTGGTTCCTCAGCTGTCAGTCTGGAGTCAGTGATCTTCCACTTGCTCAGGTCAGGTGTTTCTGTGGGTTTTCCCAGTACGGTCTTGACTCCTTTGCTCATATTATTACTCCTTTCCTTCCTACAACTGGACTCTTGGAGTTTAGCCTGGTGCTTATCTGTGGATCTTTGCATCTGTTTCCATCAGTTATTGGATGAAGGCTCTATGAAGGCAATTAATATAGTCATCAATCTGATTACAGGAGAAGGGCAGTAAAAGTATCCTGGTTATCCTTTGCTTTGCATCTAATATCTACTTATGTGTGAGTATATAGCTTGTTTGCCTTTCTGAGTCTGGGTTACCTCACTCACAATGGTTTTTTCTAGTCCTTTCCATTTGCCTGAACATTTCAAGATGCCATTGTTTTTTGCCGCTGAGTAGTACTCCATTGTGTAAATGTATCACATTTTATTGGTTGCCCTTTGGTTGAAGGGCATCTAGGTTGCTTCCAGGTTCTGACTATTACAAATAGTGCTGATATGAACATAGGTGAACAAATGACCTTGTGGTATGAGTGTGTATACA